ACCGCCGGCCCTAGCTGGCGGGCCCTCCGCCCCGCTCCCGTACACAGCAGGGACAACTGGCCCCATCCTGGCCAGGGGCAAAGAGGTGAGGATTGAGTGGGCGCAGGGTGGGAAGGGACACCCCCGCTCTGACCAGTCCTCAAGCCCTTACGCAGCGTCGGTGCCAGCGTGCAGCATGTCCCGTGTCCCCAGAGTGTGCCCCCCGGGTGTGACCCTCTCCTTTTCCCTGTCCCAGACACCCCCTGGCATGAGCCCCTCCGCCGGCGCCTATCTGCAGATGGCCGTGTCCTTCAACTACCGCTGCCTGGCGCTCTTCACCGACACCGGCTACATCTGGATGGGGCTGGCCACGCTGAAGGTGAGCGTCTCCCTTCCCTCCCTGTCGCGGGGCGTTAGGGTGTCAGCCCACCCCTCCTCTCCCTGGTCTGGCAGACAGATCCGGCAGGGTGGGCTGTCCACGCAGGTTCCCTCGGGGTCCCCATGGACTCAGGTCTGCAGCCTTGCTGCCGCCCGCAGGCACCTGCACTCCTGTCCTCGGGAGATCCACCCTCTTTTGCCCTTCACCTGATTTTATACCTTACTCCCCACTTTTTCTATTTCTGAACCTACCTTTTTGCTGGCCTTGCACCTCCCTTTCTCTGTCCAACCTCCACCCCCAGATAAACAGCTGACCACTAATTACTTTTTCCCACCGGTCACAGTTCTGTTATGTCCGTACCCAAACTTGGTGGTTCTAGTATTGTTTCTTGGGTAGTCTCAGCCTTATCACCATGGCTGGTGTGGTCACTTTGGCGTAGGGGCCTTGCTTGCGAGTCTTGATTCTGCCCTGCAAATTCCCCCACGTTGTGGGGCTCGTGCTGGTGAGGTGCTGGTTGCCTTCCATGCCCTCCAAGACATGTCCTCCTTCTCCTTTCACCTTCGTTCACCTACCAGGTCTCAGTCAAGCTGAAACAGCTTCTTGCTCTGCGTGCAGGCAAGCTGTGTGCCACAGCAGTGGAGGAATGTTTCTCACACTCAGTTTAAGTGCTCACGCAGCATCCTCACCCTTCGGCTGAAAAAGCCCTGGCTGCCTCCAGAGCTAGAGACGGGGCCGGGTGATCCTGCAGGACCCACTCACGGTGCAGCACCCACCATGCTCCCGGTGCCCAGCAGTCTGTGCTGCTCATCCCCCAGCAGCTCCCCTCAGCGCGTGGCCCCGGCAGCACAGGCGATGCCACCCGTCCCTGTGCCGCCGTCCCCCTGACCCAGCTCCC